TACCTGGCAAGCCATCCCATACATAAAGAAAATTCCCATCCCTCCCTCCGCGGGTGGTCTCCTCCTTCCAAGCTCAGGTCCTCTACCAGAGGCCTGGGAGCTTGAGGTTCTGCTGTATCTTCGCTTTTCCTAGAGCTGCACTTTTCTGGACTGAGATGTCTGATGTTTTTCCTGGGATCTACTTCAGCCACTCCTCCAGTCTGGGAGTTACTGCCCCGAGTGCAACGATGACCACGGGTACCACCGATGTCTTCATTCTCCAGGCTTTCTCAAGTTCTTCTCTGAGGCGCTGATACTTCTCTAGTTTCTCGTGTTCCTTTCTTCTGATGTTGCATCACCTGCTATCGCCACATCAACCACAACAGCTGTCCTCTGTTGTTTGTCCACCACCACAATGTCTGGTTGGTTCTCCATCACCATTTAGTCAGTCTGGATCAGGAAGTCCCACAGGAGCTCTCTCGTTCTCTGCCACCTTAGGGGGTGTTTGCCACTTTGACCTTGGAGCTTCCAGTCCGTACTCTACACAGATGTTCCTGTACACGATGCCAGCTACTAGGTTGTGGCGTTCCATGTCTGCTTTCCCTGTCAGCATCAGTTATGGTGGGTTGTCTCGGAGGCCTCTAGCCTACACCTTGGGTCTTGTCTGGTGTGGTAGATTTTGACCTCTGTTGCTCTGATGTTCAGGGCCCGTTCCTGTGCAGCCATGACATATACACATACTGTAACGTCCAAAAGGGTCGATTTTCACCTATATATTGACCAACATAATAACCTTTCATTTACAGAAATAAATCCACTTTCTGTTTGGCCTTCTAAACCCAGAAGGTTCTGTTCAGCGCGTGTTTACATACAGGAGACAGAACATCCAGACAAACATTCTCTGCCAAGGTCCTACACCCTCTGCATGAATGCCAGTTAATCATTGTTTACACTCATACACATTGCAATAAGATACATATTAAGGTTAAAAACATTTTTGTATCTGAGGAGGGCGTGGCTTTCTGAGGGATACTGGTAAATACTCAGAAACCTGTGAAATTCTGATTGGCCAAACTTGGCCAGAACATGGTAGTTTAATAAAACAAGAATTACTTCCCGATTAATTCAGTTTCTCACTGACTCCCGATTCGGCCAAATCGGGAAAGAAGTCACTTTTGAAACAAACTCCTTTGACCTCCTGTCAAAGCCTCTCTGCAACGCTGCCACTGATACAGGCCGTCTCCAAGTTTAGGTCCTCCACCACCTCCCTTACCCATGGTGTCCCACAAGGTTCTGTGCTCGTGCATCAGCTCTTCCTCCTCTATTTGCTTTCCTCTTCAGCACATCCTGAGCTCCTTCAAAGGAATCTCCTACCATCTTTATGCAGATGACATCCAACTGTACATCTCCTTTAAGCCCCATGAGATGTCTAAGCTGCAGCTGTTACACACCTGCTTAGACTCTATCAAAACCTGGATGGTGGGAGCTTTCTTCAGCTGAATGAAGATAAGACTGAGATCCTCATCTGTGCACCAGACAAGCTCGTTCCCAAAGTCAGAGACTCTCTTGGTCAGCTTGCTTCTCACACCAAACCTTCTGTCAGGAATCTTGGCGTGACCTTTGACCCAGCTCTCACCCTGGATTCTCATGTCAGTTCTCTTGTTCGCTCTTCCTTCTTCCATCTCAGGAACGTTGCTAAGCTGAGTCCCATTCTGTCCCGCTCTGAACTTGAGACAGTTCTCCACACCTTCATCTCCTCACGCTTAGACTACTGTAACTCTCTTTTCACGTGTCTGAGCAGAACCTCCCTGAACCATCTACAGGTGGTTCAGAACGCCTGTGCTCGGCTTCTGACCAAGTCCTCCAAACACACCCACATCACCCCGCTTCTCCTCCAGCTTCACTGGCTGCCAGTCAACTTCAGGGTTCATTTCTAGATCCTGGTTCTGGTCTATAGGGCCTTACATGGACAAGCACCATCTTACATTGGTGATCTTCTTAGTCCCTACACCCCCAGCAGGTCCCTGAGGTCCAGTGATCAAAGCCTACTGGTTGTGCAGCACCAGGCTAAAGGTCAAAGGTGACAGATCATCTGCTGCTGTGGCCCCCAGACTCTGGACCTCTCTCCCCCTGAGCCTGAGATCAGTGGACTCAGTGGTCTCCTTTAAAAAGCAGCTGAAGACTCACCTGTTCAAGCTGGCTTTTGTATGACCTTCTTCACCTCTCTCTCTTTATTCTGCTCTCCCCACCTATTCCACCTTCCTCAGGATCCACTGATTTCCCTCTTTCCTGTTCACTCTCTCTCTTTCTTAACCTTTCCCCATCAAAGAGCCATTATTACCCATTTCCCACAGTAAAGAAAACACTGGGAGCTGCAGCAGCCGCAGCGTTGTGGGCGGGGCCTACCCTCTGACAGCAGAGCTGCTTTAACCGATCACAACAGGTGGCAGCAACCAATACCAGTCGCTCATGTACCTCAAAGTTATCTTTCAACAGAAGATAATTACTAAAACAGTTTGTATAAAACTGATCTTAAAGTTGAAGCCCGTCTGTGCTACAATATTTTGATTTTTTTCACCCTGCTAGTGGTTTTATTAGTTGAGCAGGTGATGCTTTTTGAGGCGTCACACATAACTGTTCAGAATACAAATCCAGGCTCTGTCTCTTTGGACAGTTGTAATTCAACTTTGTACTGAACTAAACTTTGCATTAAACATTGTTGAAAAGGTAAGAAAAGGTAATTAGTTTTTTTCCTCGTTTCCACTGACAGAGATAACGGCGCAGTGTGCGTGGCTCTGGTGTTCATCAGGTTTAATGTTTCTGTTTGCAACAATCTTCACTAGAAGGTAAAACGGTTAAATGACGGGGTTCGCACTGACCGGATGTTTCCCGTATTTATTTTGACGGAGAAATCTCAAGCCTGCAGATGCGCTGACATTTTAACGCACATCGTGGAGGTAGCTACATCAATCAGGAAAAGATTCCCATCAGAACATCTGAGATGGACACTGAGCTCAGCGCAGCTCGCTGTCAGCGCGCGCGTAAGGTGGACAGCGAACTGAAGATAGATCGGGGGCTTGGAGTGCATCACAGAACCAGAACCATGTAGGATGATTCTGTGTTTTCTAAACCCGGTCTCTCAGAGACTTGTCACTTATGCCAGTAGAAAAGCAGCGGTGCCGACCAAAGTAGTCCTGGAATGCTTCCAGGTCATGACAGGTTATCACTGGCGTCTCTGAGACCCTGAAGGGGTCGTGAGGTTCAGCTTTTATTCTGAAGGAACCGTTGTGGTCAGGTGTAACGTGCAACAGATTTTATCCAGCTTGTCGAGGTTCTTTTGGCTGAAGAGGAAGTCCGGATGGCCGGTCCGAGACTTCTCTAGAACAATAAAGAAAAGGTGGAGTGGGATAGTTTTTATAATTGTCATAATTTGGTTTACTGGCGAATCAGAATTTGACATGCAAAAGAGGGTTTATACAAACACCACAGAAAACCACGCCTAGCCAGAAACGAAGGTTCTGATTGGATCAGACAAAAGGAAATGTGTCATGTGACTTTAGCATTACGTGTCATCTGTGTCTAGTGCAAATGTCCAGGATTATAATAACTTGTAAAATACTACTGATCACAGGATTATAATATCAAGTAATAACATTGTCTTTTCACAGATTGAACATTGGGCTCACATTATTATTGGTAATTAACAAAGTTGTTTGATTATGTGTTTATCAAAAGAGAGTTCTCCGTCTTCGTCTTGAGCTGTAACAGAGGTGAAGCAGTTCAAATGAGCAGAGTGCATGAAAGACCTTGGCCACTATCTCATGTAGACTAGGCTGTCAGAGACTTGATGTCTCCGCTCGAGCAGACGCAGCAGATGCCCTTAGGTCATAAACAGGACATTCTTGATGCTACACATGCAAACATTTGTGTATTTTATTTTCTTTGGGTGCAATTTAAACGCTGAGCGCTAGTTGGCAGCAGTGTGCATTGGGTTTAATCAAAGGTAAATATACAATAGCATATAACAGGGTTTGGAAACCAGTGCAGAAGCTCTCGTCGGAAATTCTTGCCTGCTTTGCGGCGCTTCGCTGACATGATCCTGCCGTTTTCTTCCCCGGCTCCTTTGGCTATCTTCTACGTCCTGAAATGGGATCGCTTCACCTTGTGATTTTTCTTTACTTACTTATCCTGTCCTCTATGTTACGCTTTTTAGAGGAATGTTAGTTTTTGTTTCAGTCACAATTTGTTCCAGTTTTTTTAGTGTTTGAAAACACCTAAAAAAAAGTTTGACAGGCGTAAAATAACAGTCTGGCTCCAACAAGCTGCTGGCTGAAAGACTGGACCTTCAGGGGAAAGACGGTGCATTTCTCAGGTCCCGAGTTAATGACTTTAAAGACTTTTAATCTTTTGCAGTTTTTATAACCATCACTTTTGCTCACATTGCGTGTCGTCTCGGTCTGGTAGAGGTACTGGACAGAAAAGGAGACCCGCAAAAGCTGCCAAAGTCCAACTAAACATTTAGCAAGTGCGTTAAAAAGCCCTGATGGAGTACTGATCTGGAAGACTTCAAAATTTCAAGAAAGTCCGGTTGTTTGAAAGCAAACTGAGATATTCTGATTGGGTTTTGTTTGTATTCAAACCGGAACGTGAGAGTCTGTGAGCTGCTTGTGATCTGAAGCTAAACCGTCTGACTGATGGACCTGAACGGAGGATGAAATATCACACACGTCTTTTTTAATTACATTAAGATCGACGAGTTCATGAGTTGTTTGTAATGATTGTATGATAAT